ACGGTAGAGGAGGTAGAATATAATCTAAAAAGTAAGTGATCCATTGGAGTCACCAAGTCCCCATCAATCTTTTCTGTCCTACCATCACAAACATAAACATGTGTTTACAAAACTATTTAAAGACTTTACCTGGATCTTTGTGAACATTTAACGGCTCAGACTGAGACTTTTACAACAAACACATACAGAGGCACTAAATGGGAAACTGTTTTTCTTTTGAAGTTCTTTGAACTACCAGGACATGAAAAATATAACTTTAATCAGAATAAAAATAAAAAAATAAAAAAAAAATACCATTGTTTTGTCTGTTTGGTTGATTATAAACCAAATCATACAGCTAAATCAACACAGAAATGGTTCAACAGACACACAAGCAATCTTCTTTTAATCCCGTCTCACTTCTCAGATCCAAATCCTGTTGGATTATCAGAAGAAATCAACCAGAAGAGAAAAGCCAGGATTCTGAATGGCAAAAAGAATTGCAGAGGAATCCTTAAAGATCCTTTTCTTCATTTGCTCCAACTTAGTAAAATCTGAAGCCATTGGCAAGTCTTTAACAGCAATAATCAAGGCTCTCACATGAGAAGCACATTTAATCCAGCATATACTATCCTATTGGGCATATGGACATGTGGAGCTAGAAGGACACACATTGAACTGTACCTAGGATACATTTTCTTTGTTCCTCTTCTTTACTTGCCAGTATTATTCCACTGCTTATTGATTTTTGTTTATATCATGTAAAGATATTTAAACACTCTTGTTGCTGAAATTTGCTACGAAAATACGTTTGCCTTGCTTTATGTTACTGTCAGCAAACTCCAGAACATATTCTGGCAACATCTGCGACACAGGTTGTAAAACCAAATGAGAAAAAAAAAAAAAAAAAAAAAGACCATAACGTTGGGAACTTTAATTGAAATTCCATCTTCTATTTCAAACTAGCAGCTATCAATTTTTTCAACAGTTTTCTAACCAATATTTAATAGGACTGTGGGGAAAACAATCAAAACAAAAAAACTCAAGGTTTTTTTTTTTTCCCAAAACACTGAACAACCTTGCAAAGAAATCCTTTTCAAAGGCAAACGGTAACAAAGCGGAATGATATTTTAAGGTTTCATTGAAACAAGGTTGCGGCGTCATTAGTAATCTTTACAAATGACTCAAAGTGTAAAGTGAAAGGTTCGAGCAGCAGCTAAGTAGGCTTCTGTTGTGACCTGAACAACAGCAGGGAATTACCCAGAAAGCTGGAGGAGGTGAGATGAGGAGGGGGAGGTTTTTAAAGACACCACTGCTTTTTGTAGCAACACCACAGGACAGGCAGCAGCGGGACCGGCGTTCCCTACAGACTCCTTCATACAAGTGTTTGTACCATGCTGCTGTCAACTGTCCCCCAGTCAGACATGACCTAATCTGGGATATTCACTTCATAATGATGTCATCTTTTCTTTGTACAGGAAGATTTAATGAAGAAAAGCTTTACATCTAACTCCTCCACGTTCAGCAGAACAGAACAGGGTCTCTGCAGATCTCAAATTCACCAGAAACCATTTTGGACTCTCACACACAATGCAGTCTTTGTTTCTTTTGAAGGATTAAATCTTCATGTTAATGGAGCAAAAAAGAACCAGGTTCCAACTTTTTATCTAGGCATAACTTTTAAGTAGTTTTCTTGTCAATAAAGCATCTTCTGGGTGCCGACATACAAAAAAAGGCTTTAAAAATTCAGTTAGATAAGACATGGAGGCCAACAGGCCAACATTATGTATGTATGTGGTGCCAACATTATTCAAGCATTTTTAAAAGAAAGAGAAAAGATTAGATGTGCAAAGTTTACAGACCTTTTATATATTATAATAATGGGATTTGTTCACTGTTTTACTAGATTTATTTTTATAGAAATTATGTAAGGGGCATCTCTAAATACTTATTGTTTTCTTATCATATTGCTCAGTTCTATTTCAAATATCAGCTATGTGTACTCATTTTAGCTAAATAAAGAGCACTATGTGAAAAACTGATTGTTCAATGCAGTAAACATGGCTACACAGTAGCTAGAAGAGATAATGAAGATTTAGACCTTTTAGCCAGAGCCAAGGCCACAATAAATGTGACTATTTTTCCAACCTAAAGATTTTTTCTGTCAAGATCAGGAAAGGCTGAATGTTACTAACACTTTCCCTACAATAGAATTAGCTAGAAGGCAATGCACTAAACACGGCCTCCACAAGAACCAATACCCTGATGCACAATGAGGCTGAACAACAATACATGAACAATGCAGTCGCAGAGAAGCGAGTGTCAATTTATCTCCAAACAAAATAAATCTATTCTAAAGGTTTATTCACTGACAGTAATCATCCAAATTCTTATTTTCAATTGGATTAGATGAAAAGTGCAAAGATGTAATTAAATATTACGGTTTGCATGTGAATGTCTGTTGACAAAGTTTGGAAAACACTGTCTGAAAAGGACCAGAGCCTCCTGGTTTCAAACTTCTGCTGCTACTTAAATGACCCTGGTTACATCTTCAGCCAATTTGTTCAAATCTCACAAAGGAAAACTATAAATATTATATTTAGATGAGAAAACCAGTTTCAAGCTCCTTTCTAAGTTATGCTGAGGGTGAACCCATAAGGCTGAGGTCAGGACTCTTTGAAGGCAAATAAAATTCATCCACACCAAACTTTATGTTCAACTTTATTTCATTTCGGTTTAAAGGTCAATTTTTCATTTTTGTTGATATTGAACATTAACAAACTCCTCATAGGGATTTTAAGCAATGAGCTTCAAACTTGGTCAGTATGCAGGTAAGGCGTATGAGATTTAAAGTTATCAAAATCGTGAGCTTTTGAGTATGGTGAAGGGGCACGGCCAGACCCCCAAATTAGCATTCTTTTAAAGTTATTTGAAATTCAATAATTTCTACAAAAGAAAATCCAAATTGAACCAAGTTTGAGAGTATTGATCCACTTAAGTGCCTGACGGTACTGGCTGTGCAAATGATGAAACCATCAAAGCCCCGCCCCCTGAGAGAAGAAAGTAATTTTTTTCCCTTGGGAGGTTCCCTTTCTGACACCTTTAACCCCATCAACATGAAGCCTGGTCAGTTAGGCAGATAACCTGTTGCTCTAACTTTGTTTTGGGCAAAGAGAGTTTTAGTTAACTTCCTTGATGGCTTGGTGAAGTGAGGCATTTTGTTTGTCTCAAAATCGCCATGATAGATCCTAGTCCTACCCCACACAGGAATCCAGCCAAATGTTGGGTGGGTGTGGCCTAATTTAAAACAGCTAGCCCCAAACCATGCTAAAACTGAGGATTATGAACCTTGACACACATGTGTATGCCTCCACGATGTACAAAAAAAGTATAATGTAGAAAGTCGGCCATAATTTAAAGGTGCCACTTTCACTCGTTTACTTTATGTTGTATCTGAGCAAGCTACTCCTAGAGCTTTTGAGTTACACACTTCAAATTCACTAACCAGAACCTAATGGCATTGGGGATAAAAAGTTATCAAATTTTTTTTTTTTTGCTGCGAAAATGCTGCTCGTCATACTGACAAATGTAAACCAGATCGAAGCCATGCTTTCACCAACGATTATGAAATTTGGGACACGTATAACCCACCTGAATGCATAAAAAAGTCTCTTGGAACCATGGTCCAACCCTCAGAGGAAGTTGGTTTGGAAAAAATTTGCCATTTTCTCTCATTTACTCATGTCATACTGTATCTAAGCAAAATCCTCCTAGAACTTTTAGTTATAGAATTTAAATTCACTATCATAGACTTTAGAAATTGGGCATGAAAAGTTATTCTAGACATATTTCTGCATGGAAGCATGTGGGCGTGGCCAGGCATCTAAATCTGACCTCTCACCATACAACCTCATGGTTCCATATGATTTTCTTGTGTGTCTAATCTCAGACCACGATTCATCATACAACTGATCCTGAATTAAGTAACATTGTGTAGTTTTTAGTGAATGTTTTTTTTCTGGGTAATAAGTGATAGTGAAAGCTGTAATGCACCAGTTGAAAAAGTAAAACATTTATAAATCTATAACTTAAAACATTAATTTAACAAAACACTAATTTTTAATCCAGATTAAAGGAAATCAAAATGGTCTGAGGTTGGTGTTGGACATCTGACTCCGCCCATACACAATCCTGACAGCTGCATCATGGACAATATAAAAAAAAAAAAAAAAAAAAAAAAAGGAACCTGTAGAACCTGCTGCTGTGGTTCTCACCAGAGAAAGTATTTTTGCAAAATAAAAGTAGACATATAGTATTACACTGTTTGTATTAACTTCTAATATTGTAAGGAATAGGACACAGTTGCATAAAAAAAGCAACAAAAACAAACAGAAAAACACTATTGCACGATCAAATCACAACGTTACAAAAACTAAAAGTACTTATTTAGTTTACTGTTTAGTAAGAGTAAAGAGTTACTTTTAAGTTAAAGGTCAAGTGTTGTCATAATTTCAGATTTAAATGTGTCTTTTCTTCAGCTTTGAAAGCTTTTTCATCAATAAATCTATTTTTTTGTAAAATAATTCTCATATTTAAAAAAACACTGTGATTATTTACTGAATATAGTATTGTATCTGCAAATGTTTCAACAAAAAAGAGCAACAAGAAAAAACAAATTTGCCTGAAATGAATCCTCTATAGGATTATACATTTTAGCGTTACTTCAGCTGTATGCAAACATACCTAAAGCGTCAGAGTTTTACAGCCAGATGTGCGCAAACTCTTCTTTCTAAATGAAATGCCTGCTTTAGTTCATATCCACACCCATAATCTCCGTTTATTTCCACCTAATGCAACAGTTTGCACACAGGTTCATTCACCTCCTCTGAGATCTAACAGCTTCAGCAGACTCTCTGCAATCTGCTTCTGTAAAACTTTTCTGCTGGGGAGCCGAGCCTCCAAAATAAAAGTTAAAGTTATCAAAGTTAAAACAATCCAGAAAAGCTGCAGAGGAAACCTACCTGGGTGAGAAGCAGACCTGGGAAAGAAGTTTGATTGCGCCAGGAGTTCAGTGTTCCTGCAGGACATCCATCTGGATCCGTCCAGCTGTCAAGTTACAAAAAGCAGGTTTCCGGTTGAACTTTCACTAGAAAAATAATGCAGCCGCTTTTGGCATTTACTTAATCATATTTAGTTACTTTAACACTTTTTTTATATGTCCTACCCTTCTAACATGAACCAATTGCGTTAAAGTAACTTAATATGATTTAGTAAATGCCAGAAACGGTTGCATATTTTTTTATTATTATTTATAATTTTTCTTTTTTTCAGTGATTAAAGATGAAGCTAGGAAAGAGGATTTGGGCCACTGAAAAAAAAAGTTAACTGATTTTTTACATTTTATCTCAGTCTAATATGGGGAAAAAGTCAGAATCCTGACTTTAATCTCTGAATTCTGACTTTTTTCTCAGATTTCTCAGTTTAATCTCAGAACTCTGACTTTTTTCTCAAAATTCTGACTTTAATCTCAGAATTCTAATTTTTTTCTCAGCATTGCGACTTTTTTCTCAAAATTCTGACATTAATCTCTGAATTCTGACTTTTTTCTCAGATTTCTCAGTTTAATCTCAGAATTCTGACTTTAATCTCATAATTCTGACTTTTTTCTCAAAATTCTGACTTTAATCTCAGAATTCTGAGATTAGAGTCAGAATTCTGAGAAAAAAGTCAGAATTCTGACTAATTTCCCATATTACACTGAAATAAAATTTAAAAATCAGTTAACTTTTTTCTTTTTTCAGTGGCCCTAATCCGCTTCCGTATAAAGCAGCTGCAACAAGCTGAAAAATGTTACCAAAATGGCTTTGTTTGTAAAGAATTGGTATATTTAAATATAACTTCTACATTTTAAATTTAACTATCAATTATTAATTGAAATACATATCAGAATCTGATAACTGAAAAACAACCATATAAATAATAATAAAAGTGACAAGAAGTGAGAACTGAACAATTATCTTCATTTATTCTCCAACCTTTTCTGTTACAGTATGTTGTGGAATTTACACATATATTTATCTGTTTCAGTAAATAATGCATCTGTATGTTTATCAACTTGTTTTTAATAGTAGTGTTTTGGGGAGAAAAAAAGATGAAATAAGTGTTCAATGCACATTCTAGGATGAAACAATCTTAACTGTTAATTTAGGTAAGTCTTCCCAACTATTTACTTTATTTTGAAGTTAGAGAGGAAACTTCCTTTTTCTTCCTCATTCTTTCACACTTAACAGGAGCTAACGTCATTCTTTGGGTCCACTTATGCACTAAGGAGGACCCCACCCCCACAAATCTCAGAGAAGAAACGAGGGAAACTCTCATACAACACATTTGTTTATTGATTTTCTTTGGACAGCTGCAAAACCACAGACTTCTTATGCAAGTATTTTTTATGTAAATCTATAAAGGTTTTATGCGTCTGAAACAGTCTAAGCTCTTCTGTGAAAAGGATCTGCAGGTATGCCCTCTGGAAAGGTGTCTTTGTCTGGAATTTCTATTTAGAAATCCTCCCAGTTTGTGCACAGCTCCTCTGCCTCTGAGGAATAAAGAGCACATGTTGCACTTTGCAGAGAAAGGCTGACCTGTAAGGCAATACAGAGGTGTGAAAAAAGGAGAAATTAGTCACAAAACAAAATTAGATAAGTCCAGCTGATTATATCATACTTTAGGAATAAGTGGAGGGGTCAATTTTCTTTTGCAAAGTCCATCCCAGTTGAATCCATTAAACCACCTGAAGACAAACGGTATATCTTATTAAATATTTAGTTTACAGGCAGTGCTCAGAATTTTTATTTGATGAAATGAATTCATGTTCTCACTTGTGCTTTTGAATGGCCTTGGCCCCGTTTGTCTGACTGACCAGCCTCTCTGAAGGTTTGCCCCTGGGTGATAGAAAGCAAAAAACAAACATAAATAGTAACCATCTACTTCCTGTCCTCAAGTGATGGAAGATAACACTAAAACTTCTCACAATACACCGACTGGTTTTGGCTTTTGTGGTCATGTTGAACCATATTCATACCTGCAAAGTTTTCTTATGAGATCGCAGGCATCTTTGCAGAATGATTCCGGGAAGTCAGACTGATCTATGCCACAAACCGATGCTGAGAGAATCTTTATGGGGTCAGAACCATCAAATGGAAGCCTGGAGAAGAAAAAAAGAATTCAATTGAGAACCTTTGTTCGAAGTCAGAAAATACCTAAAACTTTTCAACATTTGGTTCCATTAAAACCACACACTTCATGTCTTTTTTTTTCAATTAGATTAACTGTGAAAGAATAAACAAAAAAGCAGGGAATAATCATGATGTGGAAAGTTTTGTCAATAATTAGCAATTTTTTTTTGTATTTTCATAGCCACAGAGTTTGAGGTTATCAGCTTTGCACATCCAACAAATCCAACAAAATTTCTCCATTTCATTTTAGTAAAATGTCTCTTTTCTAAAAACCTCTTTTAAATCCCCTGGTTTATAGTTTGATTAAGGTCTGGACTTTGACTAGGCCATTTTCACTGTTCTTCAGTGTCATTCTGCAGTCTCAAATCACAGGTTTCTATTCATATCAGGTTGTATCCTTTTGCTTAAGTCTGTGAATAATAACATCAGTAAGTTAGTCTATCACATGAAATTCCAACAAGGGATGACATGGTTTGACCAAATGTGGAAAAGATCAAGATGTGACCGCTCTACAAGCCTGCTCCATTTCACTTTACTTACATCACCACAGTTTAAAACAAAGCATTGTTTCTCAAGCGTAGAAAACTTACCTACCGCTGAGAAGTTCAAACACAAAAACACCCAGTGACCAAAGGTCTGCTTCTGTACTGTGTCCCCTGCTCAGGATGATTTCAGGAGCCATGTAGCCCAGCGTCCCGCAGAACGTCCATGTCCTCTTACCCTCCTCAACCCTCTTCAGACATCTGGAGCTAATCTACGGTAGACATCAGTACAGTCAGTATTGCCCACCACCCTAAATAAAATGAAGCAAACAGAACATGGAGGTGAGGTCAGTTTGTAGTTACCAGTTTACCATAACCCTGCTCATCCAGCACAACATTTTCAGGCTTGACATCTCTGTAGACGATTCTTTGAGAGTGGAGGAAACTCAACGCTTCAACAACACAAGCTGTATAGAACTTAGTGCTGGTTTCATCTAAATGTCCCCTGAAAAATAATGGAGATGTTTTCAAGTTGAGCAGAAGAAGAAACTATTTCTTTTATAAAACATCTTTTATAAAACAAAAGGGTGTGATTCACTGAACCAAAATAAAATAATATATGCATTAGTTCAAATCTGTAGATTGATGTTAAAAGAAGACAAAAAAAATCAAATAACAGGTCAGGTTGGTTTAGTTTTACATACTCACTTTTCTTTGAGTAGACGGGACAAATTTCCACCCAGACAAGCTTCTGTCAAACCATAAAGATGCTCAGCATCTCTGAACGTTTTGTATAGTCTGTGATCAACAGATAGAAAACAGTCTTACAAAGTAGCCCTTCCTCATTAATGTTTTCCCATTGCTCTCACATTACAACCACTTACTGACTTATATTTATATAGAGATGTCCTGATCCTATATTAATATCGGATATCGGTCCAAAATAAGCCAAAAACTGATATTGGATTTCATCAGCCAACATCTAAAATCTCTGATATTTTCATGCTGATAGAAACACTTCTGTTAAAAGTCTCTGTAGCTCATTGGTTAATTTTATTTTTATGGGTCAGTTGTTTTCATACTTTTTTGTTTTTGACTTTTGTTCCCTTTTTTAATAATATTACTTGTGTGATTCATGCTAGTATCGTATCGGGTCAATATTGGTATTGGACAATTCTCAAAGCTGAAATCTCAGTATCGGAAATTGTACCGGAAATGAAAAAGTTGTATCGGGACATCTCTATATTTAAATGGGGTTTTATGTGGTCGACAACACAAGCTGTTCAAAACTGCCGACATAAACTGAAAAGTGTGGCAATCACTTGTTTTTTAGGTCCTCAGTTTGTTGTCATGATCTGTTTTTGTTCATCACTTGATTATATATATTGCTGTTTATATTTGTAAATAAACAGCATGCTGTTTGATGTGGTGGAATGGAAAAAAGTTTTTAAAGGCTGTTAAGACTTTTGCAAAACACTATAACCAGTTGAAAAAAGTCACCTGACTAGGAATGGACAGAGGGCCTCCATCAGGATGCTGCGCTCTCTCAGAATGTGCTCACGCTGACCGCTGTTCAGGATGAGCTTCTTCTTCAGGACCCTCATGGCAAAAACACACCTGATGTTTCTTCTCAGCTGCACCTGAAAGCAATGAGAGAAAAAAAAATCAATACATAGGTGTGTGGAAATGAGGAATATCAATGAGGCAGGAGCTCTGGGATCTGTGTGATTGCGAGTGGGTTGCTGCAAGATCAACTCTTTACCAAGTCTACGTGACTAAACTCCCCAACTCCCAGAGTACGAATAATCTGAAAATCGCTTAAGGTGGAAGATGCCAGGGAGGCAGGATCCCCCTTGGACCTGTGGAGGAAAACACAGATGAAATGGTGTTTGTTGTTTTCCGTGGGCATAAAACAAGACTGTGCTGCACTGCTCCTCACTCGATTTTTGATTCATCGCTCTGCTGCAGCTTTGGAGGGCTGTCAGATCCAGAACCTTCGATAACATCTCTAAAGGTCCTGAAACACAAATAAATTATGAATGTTCTTTGTGGATCTGACAAAAAAGAATCACAATAAATAAATGCATTAGAGAATATAAACTGAAGCAGATACACTCAAAATGTATCTCATGAGCTCAGAAAGCCTTCAGCTTACCATCTGTCTATGACCAAGCATGTCACCTCTCCAACAGCCACAACATTTACAGACCAAGTGGTTTCTCTAAAGGCAGAAAAAAAAGGATAATCATAAGAATTTAATTACAATTTGTATTTATATTTTTAGAAGGAATGGAATGTATAAACAAAAGTATTTGAGTTCCCAAACTATCCTTTAACAAGGCAAGGGCCTATCTCTCTTTTATAAGTAGTGGCTGATAGCTGCTGAAAGTTTGTATTTTCCAGCATTAAA